ATGATAGCAGTGTTCCAATATCTTAGGGGCTGCCACAAAGAAGAGGGAGTCAGGCTATTCTCCAAAGCGCCTGAAGGCAGGACAAGAAGCAACGGGTGGAAACTAACCAAAGAGAGAAGCAACCTAGAACTAAGGAGAAACTTCCTGACAGTTAGAACAATTAACCAGTGGAACAACCTGCCTCCAGAAGCGGTGAATGAGCCAACACTGGAAGTTTTTAAGAAGAAACTGGACAGCCATTTGTCCGAAATGGTATAGGTTTCCTGCCTGAGCAGGAGGTTGGACTAGATGACCTCCGAGGTCCCTTCCAACTTTATCATTATTATTATTATTATAACTTTGAATCTGGGTTGTAAATGGCTCGGGGGAGGTCCACTGTAATCCAAACAGTTGCTAAACAACCAAACATGTGTCAAGGGCTACCTGTAGTAGATTTCTGCACTGTGCAGAGATTAGACTAAATTATTTCTTCCAGTTTTACTTGCTATGAAATGTTTAGGGTAAAATATTTTGCATGAGATGTTTTTTTTAGTATGTCAGAAATCTAATGATTCAGTAAAAGAATGGGTAATTTGAATTAGTTCTTCATCCCACTTTAATTTCATATGCAATTCCTCATAAATGCTGAGGTGCTTTGAAGGCGATCAACAAAACACAGGAGTCATATATAAATAAAAACGTTTCATCCATTGGAGCATCATCACTGATTACTCTAAAACAATTTATGAATTTTAATATAAATAATATAACAAATATATCAATGCACTGACTGGATTTGATTAATAGGTTTGGTTAAAATAGAAAAAAAAATAATCTTAGCCAGAGAAACATTGTAATTCATTAAACTTACGCTCTTCTGTCATGGTCAATTCTATTTATTTTTCCACCAATGAACACCCTGATCTTGCAGTCTTTCCATTTTTTCTTGGTTGTCAGAAGATATGGAATCAAAAGTGTTAAGCCTGTAAGGGTGAAAAAAACCAATTTTAATTTAGAGCCAGTGTTCGAAAAGGAAATACCAGATAACATTTCTAATTTTCTTGTAATGTTTTTTTTTAAAAAAATGTCTTACCCCCATCATCAAAGAGCCACCAAACATCAATGTAATTTTTGCCTTGTTTTTTCTGAAATTGGGAACTTGCATCAAGCAGCTTTTGATCAGCCAAGTTCAGAGGAACAGACGGGCCCTTAGGATCTGTAAAATTGAGAAGTGACATTTGGAAGAAAATGAAGTCCAAAATATCCGATCAGCCATCTCCATTCAAATGCAGAAGCTGGTTTACAAGGAATAGAAAAAAATAAGAGATAAAGAAGATATGTTCTAAAATATACAGACCTAATATCACACTTGATTTTTTTTAGTATCATCACATTGCATGCCTTTGAAACTCCCAATATGCAGGGTAGGTGGCTGCTAAGAGGAGTGGGAGTATAAATGAGTGGTCAACCACTTTTTGATTCCACTATCTAAATGTTTCTCGATGTTGGCACCTTTAAGCTGTGTGGACTTTGCAGAATTACTCAACCAGCCAGTTAAGAGTCCACCCAGTTTAAAGCTGCCAAGCTTGAGAAACACTCATCAAATTGGTCAGGGCTTGAAATAATTAGCATCATTGTTATCAGCTGTTTGGTGCAATGAAAGACATACATTGTAATGTTATCCTTATATTTTTAGCACAGCAATAAAAATGATTTAGATAAATAAGTTACTGAAATTCATAAAAAAATACTAAAGCTGTCATAGCCAAAACATCCACCCAAGTTCTCCAGGAAGTCTGAATTATTAACTTCCACTTGTGATAAACAATATACAAAATAAGATATGAAAGAAATAATAAATGGACACTGACAGAAAGGGAAAATGGATTAAACAAAAGAAGATGGAAAATGGCCTGCCTTTTTTCAAAAGTGGCTGTGTTGGAGTCTTGATATCTTCTTCTTCTTCTGGACAAGTTTTAAAAGTAAACAAAAAAAATGAAAAAAGGTTATTTGCAATATTAATGATAATGAACAATTGTTTACCATTCAATGGTAAAAATCGAATATGAATTAATACATGCCCTCATGAATGTTATTAATTAGCATATTCACGTATTTTCTTTATACCACTACACTATTTAAAAAAAGAAACATGTTAGTACCTGAAATGTCCACAATATCCCTCTCTCTTTGCACTAGACATATGAATGGACACATGCATTCAAACATACATACACACAAAAATCTTTTTATCCAGGGAGAAAATATTGATAGAATTTAAAATTCTACATTAGCTTAAGATGGAAAGAGGATGAGTAAAATCCATGATCAGTCTCATATTTAACCCAAGACAAGCATTACCATTAGGCAAATACAGTATATAAAATGGGCTAAGTCTACAAGTGACTACAAGGACATATTTTAGATTTGGCAGAGCCAATGTATTTATCTATTAAGTTTAATCCACACTATAGTCATCCACACTATAGCCATAATATCAGAAGCCCTTTTGATGCAGTATCTCAACGTACCAAAAGCTTTATTTATTCATATCATTTGTAATGAATAACCTTCAGTAACACACTGCACCAACTAAATTGAGAACTGCTGGTTCTGAAACTCTCACCGGTTTTAAACTTTGCAATATGGAACAAAATGTAATAGGAAGGAAAAGACGTAACATATTCCCTTCATCAGATATATGACTAATAAAAGAGCTGCACAATTATTCCATTATATAACAAGGAGTCTTAGGTTTAAATACCCAAATACCCACAGAATTATGACATTGTGATCAGTTACTGTTTGGAGTCAAATAGATATTGTAGGGTTGGTATAATAATAATAATTATGTGTATGTATGTCTATATGCACACATACACCTATGTGAAAAGAACTGTACCTGCTACCTTCAGTTCCTAGGGAAAAAAAGAAGTATACATGTACTAAATACATAGTTACCTTTATGAATAGGTCCTTTTTCACTAACAGGTTTAGAAGTTACCATATCAGTCTTCTTGCTGTAGTCCACATTTACTATAATGTCTTTGGTTACTGGTGATTTCTCTTGGGATGACAATAATTCTTCTGTGAATAATAAAATATACATGACTGAATATTTATGCAAGAATAGGCTGCTATTTGAAGCCATGATTTTTTCAGGAATAATGTCAGCTTTTGCACAAAGGGATTCTGCATAAGTGTTCCACTATAACTCTGTAACTAAAAATTTTCAATGTTCATGCTCAGAATGCACAGTAATAATTGTCAAGGAAGCATTTGCACAAGACAATGAAGATTGGTTGTGTGAATGTGATGTAACTGAAGAGCTAAAATCACAGGAAAATAATCTGTCCTCATTCTTCATGGTATCTATATAAGTGCATAATTATTTAGCAAGCTTATCACTGGCAATGGTCCAGGCTACAAAAGAATGGATGTAAAATAATTTTTCCAAAGGTATCAGAAACATCAATTTATGAGTATATAAAGCATATAAGCATATAAAGATGGTTATGTCACAACATTAGACAAGAAGGTGTCCTCAATTCTTCACCACATCAACTTCTTTGTCAAGATCCCAAAATATTTTTTGGGGAAATAATATAATAAACACTACTTTGAATAATAGTACTTTAAATATTATAACAGCAACAATAATGGATAATCTCTGTAAAGTGATAATGATCACTTTGCAGAAAACTGTATTAGGATTTCAGTAAAGGTTTCCCATGACCAAAGACAATCTACATTGTATTAGCCCTCTGGGGAAGAATTAAAGACTGACCAATCTTTTGACCAGAATCTGCATAATAAAGAAAAGATTTTGAACCTACCAAAAGATAGCCTAGAACAGCTTTTGGGGCACCAGGGACCGGGGTTTGGTGCACTAGCTAGATCCTGCACATGTGCAGATGAGGCTTTGCTCACTTGCACGGGCTGTTCCTAACAGGCTGTGGACCGGTACCAGTCTGCGGACCGGGGATTGGGGAACCCTGGCCTAGAGACGTCCAAGGGTGGGTAAGACAATTAACTAGATAGAACTTGTAAACTAGCTTAGATAAAATGGAAGTATCAGTCACAGTTATGTTAGTCTTCTGAATAGATAAAGGAATGATAGTGAGCACTAAAGCTCTGCTTATAACGCTGGGGCAACTGTCCATGCTTCTGGTGGTTGCTACAAGTGCATCATAATAATCAATCTGAAATATAAGTAGTTCTCATTTAGCAACTGCCTCATTTAGAAACCAGAATTATGAGGGCGATGAAAAGAAAATGTATGACCAATCCTTGTGCTTACAATCTTTTCAGGTCTGTAAAGCAAAGGAAAATGAAAGTAATATCTTAAGCACAGTTGTTTTTCATTTAGTGACCATTTTACTTAACAACCAAGTTGCTGATCCCAACTGTAGTGGCTAAACAAGGACTACCCTGGGGGGGGGAGGGGTAGCACAAATTTCATGCTCTTAATTCTTGGAGCCAAGTTTATCAAACTAGCAATGATAGATGGCAGAAATGAAATCAATAGAAATTGCCAATAAAAAGCTGGAGAAGATGCAACAGAAGAAACAGTAGCTCCGGGCTATTAAGTAATGAACTCACTAGTGCCAAAATTGTGTGATTATGGAAAGAAAGATTTTTTAAAAATGTTTCTTATCCTTATCATTTTTAGCTAAAAGAAAAGGCAAAACTCCCAAGAAGCCACCATCAGAGGCTGTGATACAATGTTCAAGAATGAAATAAAACTGAACTAAACTGCCTATAATGGGCAGACAAAAGGATTAAGTACAGTGCTACTAACAGAGTGTTGTAAGGAGCTGGGTTTGTTTTTCCCCTCAGGTTTTCAAGCGTCTGATGCAGACATTACAAAAATATCTATCCATTACAGTACAGAGAAAATCAGAAGAGTGGTTGCTGTTGTTATAATGAAGGATATAAATCTAATACTATAAAAACCCAGGTCATATTAAGGATTACCTTGTCCCTGAAGATGAGATATATCCAAACCTTCCCTCAGACGGATGACAACCACTCCGTACTGAAAGTCGAAAGCATCACTGTAATAAAATGAAGTGGGTAAACTAATAAGCATTCATAATTGGCTAATTAGTACAATTAATCTGAAAGGATAAGCAAGCTTGATCAATAAAGGAAATGTCTCCAAGGGTTATCCTATAAAACAAAAAAGCTGTATGGCAACTGTTTGTACAGTTACCAGTACAATCCAGGATCCTGTTTTATTGAAATCTCAGAACATTCACAACAAGAGAGTGGGGGAAAAAGCACTTACTCTCCCCACATATGATCAAAAGGACTCTGAATGAAATATGAGATCTACTTCAAAACCATTAATATGCCTAGATCAGTTTATAAGGCAGTATTGTACTGACTTACTACCCCCAATTTCAGAATATATTAGCAGAAAAAGGCTGTTTATAATTCTTCTGAAAACTTCGATAAATTGGTAAGTATAGATAATCAGTTACAAGAATATCTTAATTACTATTACTTACTGTAATAAATTGATGTAGATGTCAACATCATTCATATCAGCTGACTGCCAATCCTTCTTGAATCCAGCAACAAGAATATTTGGCCTCATTCTTCCTAAGCCTGCAGCCTAGAAAAAAAGTATATACAACACTTTGGAATGGTATGCCTACCTTTAAACTTTGCTTTATTTAGATTAGATAAAAACAGTGGAATTTTTCTACCCTACCTAGTCCTGTGTTTTACTGGGAATCATTTGACAATTTTGGCTGAAATTTAGAAGCCTTCTAAATACCTCAAGATGAGGAATGAAGTAAAAACTAATCTTGTAAGCAAATTTAAGCTCAAACATGTGACTTTCTATGTCACAGCACTGACTAGGTTAGCATCTGGATCATCATGTCCTCTGTTAGAACCAAAGGACCCTTCTCATTTTGGAGCAATTTCTTGCTAACTATTGATTTGAGCACTTTTGTTGCTTTTTACTGAAGATCTACAACATGATATTAATGTTGATATGTACTATCTATGGTCTTAGATAGCATATATCTCCTCAAAGCCTAGGTTAATGTCTTCAAAACTCTTCCAAGATTTTTAATAGAACACCAGCATAAAATTCTTAATATCATAAGTAATCCATCTACCTATATATAATGCACCATTACATTTAATCAATATTTTTATCCACATTCTCATACTTTTTGAAGTCACTATGTCACTCAAAGGTACTCCATGAGAGTGGCTATGGGTAGCCTAAGAACAGTAGCATTTCTCCCATACCTAATTCCAGTAAACACAAACAGAATAGGCTGTAAAGAGATTCTGAGAATGCCACCTATCCTCCTACTGAAATCATGTACTTTTGGTGCAGGGTTTGCAGTTGTTTTCCTGATATCACTCAGCCACCCTCTAAATCACGGGTGTCATGATATGTCGCGACGTATCACAACTTTTTTTGCATTGCCGGAGCTGGGGTGGGCAACTGTATGATGCAACCGGTCCGCGGGCTGGCAGTTTGACACCCCTGCTCTAAATCTTTCTAATGAAATTCAGAAAAGTGGATACAATTATAAAGGTAAAGGAACCCAACAGAATTATCTCTGTTCAGAGACCTAATATTTTTCATTCTATTCTGGATGAAATTCTTTCTGAAAGGAAGGAGAGTGGTCTTGTCATCTTATGGCACACAGAATTTTATAGCTTTAAGACTTACTTCAAATCTATTGTCATGTGTCTAATGAAGAGAATATTCAAATACACATTTCCTGAATACCTGTACCTTTCAATAATACAGCAGAGTAGAAGGAGGAGCTCTAAAAACTATAGCAATTTTTAGAATGGTCTCCAGCAAGTGAGAGACAGTGAATTGCGATCCAGCTTCATGAAGCATGAAATCCAACTGTTAGTTTCCTTCCCTCTACTTTTTGATAGTCAAAACCAAAAGAATGTCTATTTCCAATACATAAAAAACAGGCAAGCTTCAATTTCTGATGTACGAGAAACAGTATTCATCTATTCCTGACCATTTTTATTTTCCGGACATCACTTTTCCTATAATGTAATTCTAAAACATGTTTAGATAATATTTATTTATAAACAGAATTTATTTATTGGACAATTTTATGAAGCCTCCCCATCTAACAGGATGTATGTTATATAATACAAATTATATTTTCAGAAAAGAATTACAAAAGAGAAAACTCCATTTTAGAAAGACCACCTACTTGCATTAAGTACTGTGCACCATCTCTCAGGTCTTCTGCATGTACTGGAGCATAAAACGCTTTCATTTTGTTTTTAATAAGCCACCGTTGGTACCTAGCCAAGTCAGCTGACAATTCCTTCATGGCTTGCCTGCGGGGACCCTAAAAGAGACATAACCCCTTATCAAAAATTTTGGAAGAAATTTAAAAGTGCATTCCTCATTGAAGGCCATGTACTGCTCTATCAAATATATGATATTGCTTAGATTAGATAAAAAATATCCTAAACAAATTAATTAGAACACAGTATAGTGGAAGAAATTATGAACCAGAAATTAGTATTCCTTTTTAACACAAAAGCCAAACTACAAAAAAATCCCTTTACTGATAATTACTCTCAAACTATTTAGAAATCCCACATGCCCTATGAATGGGTAACATTTATATGGTGATCTTTATATAATTCATGCAGAAACTGCATACCTAAAACCTTCTGCATTTCAAGTATTTCTGTGTACTGTGATATCTGAATATTAGATAGGCTTGTCACAAATTATTCTTCAGTAGCTAAAAAACAAAATTCATTCTCCAAGAACACATCATCTTATCTGCATGCTTCTATTCAGCCAATCACAGCATTATAAAACTTACATAAGACAAACATTATTCCCTATACAAGCAATAACTGATTTTACAAAAAATAATATAAGAATGGGCAACATGCAAAACTTTAATAACATTTTAGTGTTTTATGACACACTATTAAATTGTAACCTCCGGCAGCAAAGGAACTTAATAAAAATTGAATTCAGCCCATATCCTGAACTAATATTATAAACTTGTATCATATTACAGATGTTGATTGTAACACTGACTGACAAGATCTTTATATCAATAGTATTCTTTGAATGGTCATTGTAATTACATTACGAAAAAAAGCAATTATCTGAAAGGAAGATAATCTGTTCATCTTTACCTTTACCTCCTTTATGATTATTAAGAATCAGGATGTGCTATCGGTTTTAAAGTTAAAATTATTAAACAAATATTTATTTGATACTGGTAACTAAAGTATCACTGTTGTCTTTTATTTCAGTTCTTCTATTTCATGCAATTTGCATTATCTTAAATAGACTTCTATATAAATGGGGGAAAGGGAAAAATTACAACAGGACAGAAATATATATTTTTAAAGTATAGCCAATTATTTAGAAACTTACCATATGTACGTGACCACAGATCATCAATCCTACATTTTTGGTGAAGGCATGGACCAGATGAAGCAAAGCTGGACGTGAGCTTGGAGCACCACTCATGACAAGGCATTGTGGCCTAATTTTAGATTCAAACAACAGTTAACATGTACATTTTTGCAATCCAAACTGAATTGTTATTAAAATGTTGCCATTAAGCAGTATGTGCACATGAAAACAATATGGAATTAGCACCATGTTTTTCATGTGACTGGAATCACCACTTGTTATTCATTTGTAATATCAAGACTCCCTTATATTGACCTTGAATAATGTTGTCCAAATGAAGAAAAAATGGCCTGCATATACATTTACTAAAATAAAGGCACAGATTCTGACCTAATCTATTGGTCAGGGACTAGGCTGAAGAACATCAAAACTAAGGAGACAAATACAACCCAAGGACATATTGTGATAGGAGAACTAAATAATATTTTGATGTTATCGTTAAGCTATCAACTACTATTTAAGCAAGTTCCCCACGGAAAAAAATATCTCATTCCCAGCTGCATATAAAAACTGACTTATGAACTTTTGCTGCATATTGGCTGTGTAATTAATAAAAACAATGCATAAGTTTCAAAATTCTTCTTCTGCTATCCATAAAAATACCACAGTGAAGCTAGAAACTAGCCACTTATATGTTTTGTCAGAGGAACACTTAGTCCAAATCAGCAATAGGGAAGTACATTAAATGAATTCTGTAACCTATGCATATTTCAAACCGTATTTACCATATCACCAATCAAGTCATTTTAAAAGATCTGAAGGCAAACGGTAAACACACACTAATATACAAGATCAATAAGGCTATTATCATTTCTATAACCACCCAATACCAACAGTGACACATTTTGAGCATTCCAATTCAGTGTCAGTCAACTGACCCTAATTTTCCAAACATCTGACTTCAAAAATATTAGTTTTTTCTCCCCAGACTGCTGTTCTTATACTTCAAGTCTAGCAATATGCTGATTAATATTTCCCAAGTTACCTGAAGTTTTTTACATGGTCTTCTACACCAGTAAGGCGGACAGCATGCTGCAAAGCATTCAGATAAGTCAAAGCTTGAGTTGAGGAACCCCAGTTCACATCTGCAAAAAACAACTTTAATGTTGAAACAGAAAATGCCCTATAACAATCTTAATTTCAAGGAAACATAATTGAAGATTATACTCATACTTCTACTTATCAGGCAAGCCACATCCCAACACACTCAAGATTTACAAATTAAGATAAATTAACTCAGCACTTCATTAAGGAAAATAATAAACTACATAGGCAGCAATTTACTTGATTCTAAAATTTGTTTTTATAATCAAATAAAGTACCTTATGCAGGCATAGTATGTTCTCTTCAGACAAGCTCCACGAATAATCAGATATGCAAATTTTTCAAACTTAAGGGTTCCTTTATATTTTTTATAGCTAAATATTTTTAATAGGATAGTTAGTAGTTGCCATGGGTACTTTTATTAGAAAAAAGCTCTAGTTCAAATTCTAAGAGTCTTAGATTAATGAGAAATTAAAGTAAAATATTAATTGGTAAAAAGTATTAGAATGGCATTTCTGGCCAAACTAGACAATATATATTGAAAATTAAAATGACTGATAACAACAGTTTCAGAAAGTGATGAGGTAATCTGAGTTCAAGAAAAAGAGAATCCTATTTGAAAAAGTCACATAGGAAAGAAGTACTGAATGAGAAGCCAAGAAGCTATACTGTGAGGTAATAGTGAAATTTCAAGGCATGAAGCAGAGCATCAGATATCAGATATATGACTAAAGAAACTTAAGAAAGAAGAAACCTAAGGAAACGTAAGGAAAAAGATACGGATAATGAATTGATTCGAAAATCCAGATGTAACCAAGAAAATCTTTACTGCCTCTCTACAAAGCTGTATGAATTTTGCTAAGATGGAGCTTAAAAGAATCTGGTCTGAACGAAAAGCTATTCAAAGCATATTAGCTAAGAAAGTCTTGCAAAATAAGACTGCTGTGTAAACATAAAATATAATAAAATTATTGAACTATTCAAAATTATTATTTGAAAAAGTGCTTTATTTCCTTTTGTTACTGATTCCCTTGACAAACTATTATTCTGAAAAAAATGAAGGTTTGAATTTTATATTGCCAAATCCTGATTTTAATTTACTTCACCTAAACTTAACATCAGACTTGGTGTAAAGTAGTAGTAAAGGGGAAAACCATGCATATGCAACTGGCTCAAAAAGATGTACCCACCTGGCTTCTTGTAAGTTACATAAATGTAGAGTCCCAGAACAATAACATAGGTGAGCAGTGCTGCCCACCAGTTAATAACAAACATGACTATGCAGCAGAGAATTGCTCCAACTAAAGATATCCACATGTTGTAGTATTTAAAAGCAGGTCGCCAGCCTATTCAAAAGCAAATAAAAATTTAAAAAATACATACATACTTATGTGTACATGTATATATCATATATGTTATGTAACATATATAAAACTTATCCTTCAATTGCCACGTTAATATATTGTTTAAACAAAAACATGTTACATAAATTTGCCAGCATTTACACACACAATTGCTATATACTTAAATATATCAAAAATGAAGGAAAATAGTACAGTAATACTATGCCTTCTCCCCACCCTCCAAACTTTTGCAATTTGATTAAGCTTGAAGTTATTTTTTTATTGCTGTTGGTGTTTATATTTTAAAAATGGATGTACAATTAGTGTTCAAAAATATTTTTAAAAAGACCCCATGTTCTCACTGGGATCAATATAAAATTCATACCTGGTGATTTTGCCAGTGAAGCATGGAACACGGAAAAATTAATTAAAGCATAGGAAGCCAAGAAGAAATTGGAGATAATTGGAGCAATTACATTCAATTCAGCTGCAAAGACAGAAACACATAATCATATTGATTTTTAGAGCAGACTGCTTTGGAAAAACAGCTCCTTACTTGAATTGGTGATTGTTCTGATTTTGTATTCTTTGTAGCCTTTTATAATGAGGCTTTTACATGAACTACAAACAGAACTTCCAAAAGTGGTATGGGAGATTAAAAGGACTACTTTCTTCATATATGCAGAAATATACAATCTGGATTAGAGTGGCAAAAGTGCTTTTCTGCTAGAGCTTCTTGTATTAATTGGGATAGTTGGATGAGACAACTCTAGAATTGAAATGAAGCTGAAATATATTTACTAAGGATATAGTGAGATGTAGAATTGCACAGAATGTCTATGAAATATATATAAATAATTCCTTCTCTTCTCAGCACAGGTTCCACAAAGCCCCTCCCATACTTTAAAAGCATGCCAAAATGTTTAGAACTAGAAATATTTTAAGTCTGAAATATTTTGAGCTTTCTAGAAGCATTCAAAAACTGTATTTATGGATCTAGAATTCTCTTATAATGGATAGAATATTGGGATACGTCTGGTAAGTGTTTGTACAGCTGCTCTGAATTCAAAGTGGGATATTTCTGATCATCAGACAAAAGTATTTGAGCTTAGACCTGGCCATTTCAATAACTTATTTATTTTTAATAATGTAATATTTTGCATACTATCACAGTTAAGCAGGTTAATTTTCACAGGAATCTTTATCTGCTTTACCATAAGTGTAATTCCTAGGTAGAACTACATCTTTGCATTTGATAACGTTGAACACTGGATTAACACAGAAAGATTCTTCAAATATTTAGAGAATGAGAAATTCTAGTGACAAGCCTCTGAATTCTAACTGGTTAATGTGATTGATGATATTAGTCTATATAAAAATTGTAAAGCTCAGTTCAGGTATTGTATTGACATATCTTATTTCCACAGATCATGCCACATAATTCAGATTTTTAAAACAAGTTTTTTAAAAAAATATGATTTAAACTAACCAATTAATATGAATCCAAGAGCAATCAAAAAAGTGAGAAGATACCCTCGTAAAGGTTCATTATTTTTCCCATAGCCTTTAGCAAACATCAGGAAACCCGGATAAATATTGTCTTTGCACAATGCCTAGGATCAAAAGAGATGACCAATTAAAGTATGAACATATAGAAAAATACTCAAGGCATCAAATCTTAAAGACAAGGGCCAAGCACAGATTGGCAGTAAAAGAAAAAAATCAGTAACATTAAAACGGTACAGATCATCAACTCAATCTAGTCTGATTTGCACAAGAAGATATAGCTGATAGACCAGGGAGGCAGCATTATTAGATATATTGTAGTTTTTTAAAAAAATGAAAAGACTTATTACATAAATTATAAGCAAGTTGAGAAAAGTGTTTTTTAATATCAATCAATCAGTCTATTCTGATTGATTGATACTACTGCCAATATTGATACTGACTTGCTTGGAAGAGACCTTGGAGGTCTTTTAGTCCAACCCCCTGCTCAAGCAGAAGACCCTATACCATTTCAGATACCGTAAGTGGTTGTCCAATCTCTTCTTGAAAACCTCCAGTGATGAAGCACCCACAACTTCTGAAGGCAAGCTGTTCCATTGGTTAATTGTCCTTGCTGTTAGGAAGTTTCTCCTTAATTCCAAGTTGCCTCTTCTCCTTGGTTAGTTTCCATCCATTGTTTCTTGTCTTGCTTTCTGGTGCTTTGGAAAATAAGTTGACCCTCTCTTCTTTATGGCAACCCCTTAAATACTGGAATACTGCTATCATGTCACTCCTAGTCCTTCTTTTCTCTAGACTGGCCATACCCAATTCCTGCAACTGTTCTTCATATATTTTTGTCTCCAGGCCTTTAATCATCTTAGTTGCTCTTCTTTGCACTTTTTCCAAAGTCGCAATCTTTTTTGTAATGTAATAATCAAAACCGGATGCAGTATTCCAGGTGTGATCTTACTAAGGATTTGTAAAGTGGTACTAATATTTCACATGAATTTGATTCTATGCCTCTGTTTTTACAACCAAGGATTGTATTAGCTTTTCTGGCTGCTGCCGCATACTACTGGCTCATGTTTAAGTGATTGTCCACTAGGACTCCAAGGTCCCTCTCACAGTTACTGTTTTTGAGCCAGGTTTTGCCCAATCTGTTTGGTTTTTCCTGCCTAGGTGTAAAACCTTGTTTTTCTCCACATTAAATTTCATGTTGTTGGATAGAGACCATTGTTCAAGTCTGTCAAGATCTTTTTGGATCCTAAGCTTGTCTTCTGGGGGTTAGCTATTTCTGCTAGCTTAGTGTCATCTGCAAATTTGATGAATTCCCCTTCTATTCCCTCATCTAAGTCATTTGTGAAGATATTGAAGAGTATCTGGTGGTGATGCTGTCTAGCCCACATTTTTCTAGTTTACCAAGAAGTAGGTTGTGGTCTACTTTGTTGAATGTCTTGCTGAAGTCTAAGTATACTATGTCTATAGCATTTTGCTGGTCTAGTAATTTAAGTATACTATGTCTATAGCATTTTGCTGGTCTAGTAATTTAGTCACTTTGTCAAATAATGAAATACAATTGCTTTGGTATGATCTGTTTTTAACAAACCCGTGCTGGCTATTAGTTATATCTTTGTTTCTAGATGTTCACAGATCTCTTTTTTATTATTATATTATCTATTTTTATTATTATATTATGTTTTATTATTATAGTATCTGTTTTTGTTATTATTATTTTGTTTTTTTGTTATTATTATATTATCTGTTTTTATTTTTATGTTATTATTATTATATATGGCGCATGTTTGAAGAAAACAATGAAAACAATTCTTCTTACCTGAAAGATTTTAGGTGCACTGACAAGAGACGCTAACGCTGAAGAAAGAGTTGCAGAAAATATACCAGCTGTTATCAGTGGGGCAAATCCTGATACCATGCTCATTACCTATATATTGAATAGAAAATAAGAAAATAGTTTGCAGGGAAGAATTAACACTGTGAAAATGATATCTGAATTAAGACTGATATCTATATTTTGAAAGCAAGGCCCATGCTGCTTGCATTTAAACATTTTAAACTGAAATGAAATGTAATGAAATATTATTTTTTTATGGAAGGACCTAGACTCAAGTTACCTAGATTATTCAGATAGCAAATAGACAGATAATATTCCATTTAAAACAGTGGTTTTAATTTTCTTATTTTAAACAATACTTTTGTGTTATTTGTTAACACTATTTGTCTGGAACGTGAATGATATGGTGTCACCATTGTGGGTTTCTATTCAATACACTTGTAATCCTGGTAAGTTCTTGGTTCTAATTACAATACTGACTTTCCAACACTGAAGGTGGCCAAACTTATTTGAGCTTTATTGGGCAGAAAATGTAAACGGATTTATTTTTTCTGATGAAAAAAATAATACTGCGGAGCAATTCTTATTTTGAATCAGCTGTAAGATAGTGGGGTAATATATGGGCTATCAATGAGATTATTATTCTCAAAGAACTACTAAGTAATTATAGCTTTAAAACTTTTTAAATTTTAAAAAAGAAATGCAACTTCCTAAAAAGGTTGAGTGACAATATTTCTAATTAAAATATTTGTTACATATTCTGTTTGGCCTCAATGCCCTCATAATCTCTGAAAACTTGAAGACAAGAAAAGTGTTTGCCAAGATTAAACCTGAAATTATTATTACAGAAAAGAAAAGAAAAGAGAAAAGGAAAGAAAAACAAATAAAGTTGGCTGGATGATTTTGATTCAATCACTCTCTCAGCTCAATCTACCTCATAGGCTTGTTGTGGGGAAAATAAGAGTAAGGAGTAAAGATAGTACTCAAGATATGACCGTAATGGAGTTTGCCCATTATAGTTGCATGTTGTGATGGCCATTAAGCAAGATGGCTTTGCTTAATGACCCCACTCCCTGCTTCCCCTGATGCAGTCATTAAATGAATAGGTCTTTAAGCAGAGAATGGGGTGCCTTAGGCATGAGGGAGGCCCTTGGACACCTAGCACAGGCCTAGGCCCATCTGCCCTGAGCCTCTCAAGGCTTCCCCCCACCCCCAAAACACCCTGTGATCCATTTCCCGTCTCCTGGGCCCCTGCAGGCTTTTTACCCTTTCACCAGGTCCCTGCAGGCCTTTCCCTTCAATCCTTAATGAAATAAAATTTTAATCATAGTTTACTATTTTTTAAAAAATGAAATAAACAGCAAAAAGCTAAATAAGATTTATAAATGGATTAAGGGTTCAGGTAAATTTGGAATGAGATTTGGGAATTAATTATAAAGAATCTTTCCTGTCGGAAATTTGTTTGGATTTTTGCAAGAGAAAATAAATCAATTTTAAAAATTGGGCACTAGAGGGAACTAAAGATTTTAGTTAAAGGAACAAATTACACATGCTTAATTAACAGTTAATTAACTGGGATGGATAACTGAAGGGCACTTTTGGAAACATGGAATTAGAAATTAATATCAACAATGTCAATAGCAAGGTTTGTTTCCATCAACAGACTGTACAAAAAATGTTATGGAAGAAATGGCAAGTGAAGAACAAGACAGATATGGATAGAAATGGATCTACAAATGATTATTACTAAAATGACATGGAAAAAGATGTCTGTCCAGACATGTAAAACCAATTGATGTTTTAATAATCAACAGGAAAATAAAAATAATAAACCACGAGAGTGACCTCGGTGATTCTTCTACGTTGGATTTACAAAAAAGCTTATTAAAGCTTTCATGAATCTTGTGAGAAGGGACAAAGAAGAAATGAAATAAAATTCTGCAACATTGTTTGAATGGATAAAAGGTTAAGATTCAAAACTAAAAGGAAGAAATATAAAGTTGGTTTATTTGTTCAAGGTCAAAATAAAATGCATTATTTCTGGTAACCTTTAATGACTTTCTGCTGGTATTAGGACTGAAAACACTATGCATTATGGATTTTTTTATAGATAAGAGATGGGATATAGGATGAAGAGATTATTATAAACTAAGAGGGGTGAAGAGTACAAAAATATTTATGACCGTAAAGATGGAAGGCACTATTTCATATATTTTTCTCTATTTTCTTTTTTTCTTTGTTTTCTCTTCTCCTCTGCACATTTCACTTTCTCTTTTTTGTATTCGGTTTTACTATTGTAACTAAAATCCTGTAGATAGATAGCTCGATAGCTAGATATAGATAGATGATAGAGATTGTGTGTGTGTGTGTATGTGTGAAGGAGGTAACAACAAAAAATAACCACTAACACAAAAACTGGCTTTCAACCAAATATCCAATGAAAGAAACATTTTCCATTTTAAGTATTTGATTTCACATCCTTTTAACACAAAAAGATCTTTCTCCACATTTATAACAGTTTACACAAATTTGTAAAATCATGTATGGAAGGGGTTTCCAACTGGTACCAGGCCGCGGCCTGTTGGACACGGGAATGGCTGGCGAGTGCACGCATGTGCACGCACCCCCCACTCATGCTAATGCAGCCGGGTGGGCACTAGTGGCCCCATTTGCGCATGCACGGGAGTGCTAGCACTGCCAGTGTCACATGGGCAATAGTGGCATTTGCTCAAGCGCATGGGCGCTAGCGGCCCATTTGCACATGCACTTGGGCCCTAGCAGCCCACACACAGGCACCAGCACCGACGTGAGTGCGCACAGCCTTCTTTTGCATGCTTGTGAGTGCTAGCACCACTATGCATGCACCTGTTTGCGCAGGCACACATGCACACACATTTTCCTGCTCCTCCCTTTCCCACCGGGCCACCAACCAGGAAAGGTTGGGGAGCTCTTATGTATGATATGGAAAATTCCCTCCCTCAAAGAATTCCCAGGATTGGAAATAGTGCTTTACCTGGAAATCATGCATTAGCCCATAAGAACATTTTGTCATTTCACAGGAAGAGAAATCAAAATTTAGTTTACAAGCTGCTGATGTACAGTTTGTCAGCTCATTAACAATTGTGTCATTAAGGCTCCCGGTGGCATCCCGAACAACACAGGAACCTAGAAAAGTAGATAAAGAAGAGATGACTTATCAAGTAGAAAAGCACAGAAATCTTAATCCATTCCTATAAAGAAGGTCCATTTAGATTTTGTTAAAGATCTTCCTAAATCATATCAACAACTACTCCTCCCCCAGGATGGTTGCTACTCACTAAGGAAGTTTTTCTCCCCTGCTGATATCTGCTGTTTTTGTTGCCAAAGCTGGTTCTTTAGCAGCTTTGTTGTTTCCTGAATTTGAGTGAGGGCACCTAATAATGACCCAAGATGACTTTTAGACAGCTATGGACCCACCTGGGAGAGGGAAACATGAACATTTCAGCTCCCTGTAGGAGCAGCTAGAAAGTTATTATTTTTTCTACCTCTTTCTACCAGCAGAACGTTGTCATAATCAAGTCTGGGCTTTAATTTCACTTTTCCAAGTTATGTTTTGTCCTTTATATTTAAACGTTAATTGGCTGGCTGAATGCTGATTTAGTTTACCCCCCCCCCCCCGCTGGATTTTATCTCTTTTTTTCCTTTGATCTTCTTGGCTGTTCTCATTAACTTCTGCTTTCCGCTTATCAGAAGTTCACAAAAAGGGGATCGCATGATCACAGGGCATAACAGTCATAAATATGAACCAGTTGTCAAGTGTCTGAATTTTGATCACGTGACAATGGGGATGCTGCAATTGTCACAGTAGTCATGGCCTAAAGTGGATCTGTTCATTTTCTCAAATATAGGTGGAGCCAAGATTTTCAATAATTTAGATATATATATATATAATATGCTGGAACATGGTATGATTTGCAGGAAGAAGGGAATGTTTTGAACATATCTATTTCAATTTGCTGGAGTTTGGAAGATAGTTCAGGAGGATTTCTTTAGGTTATATTTCCTGCTTCCAAATGACTGAAAACCATACTGATTTTTAACAGTTATGGTTGAAAGTACCTTGAAGAAGCCCTTCAATTCAACATGTGGTTCCTAGAATGTTAGGTTATTCCTTGATTTAAAAAGTCAGGTTTAGTGCACATAAGAATGCTACTAAAGTGGTAACTTATAAGACTGAATTTGTATCCAAATACTGGTAGGTCTTGACTTACGACCATAATTGAGCTCAACATTTCTGTTGCTAAGTGAGACATTTGTTAAGTGAATTTTGCCCCATTTTACTTTTTTGCCACAACCTGGTTGTTAAATGAATCTGACTTCCCCATTGACTTTCCTTGTCAGAAGATTGCAAAAGGTCATCACATGACCCCAGGACACTGCAACAGTTAGTTACCAAGCGTCTGAATTTTGATCAGGTGACCATGCGGATGCTGCAATGGTCATAAGTGTGAAAAACAGTCATAAGTCACTTGTTTCAGTGCTGTTGTAACTTTGAAGAGTCACTAAATGAACAGTTGTAAGTCAAGGACTTCCTATAGCAGCGAGGGCGAAACTTTTAGAGACCGAGTGCCCAAACTTCAACCCAAAACCCACTTATGTATTGTCGAGTGACAGGTAGGCATGGCCCATTGGGTGGGTGTAGCTGCAGTGGTAACGGTAGATTGGACGGGACTAAAAAGTTCAATCAATCAATTCCAACTTTGCGGGATCTTTTTTTTTCCTGTGAGAAGTTGAAATTGATTGAACCTTTTTTTTTTTTGCACACAGCGGCAGAGGCCTAAAACGAAAAGGTTTTATAAAACCCAGCTAAAGGCCTAGGACTGGGGCGATGGTGCGCGTGCCCACAGAGAGGGCTCTGCGTGCCACCTGTGGCACGCGTGCCATAGGTTCGCCACCACGGTCCTATACCAATTCAATGGTGTTAGCCCTGCACATTTATGAAAAGCCTTTGGCTACCAATATAAGTTATGTTACTTAGGCAAAGAAATATAAGTTATGTTGCTCAGGCATTTGCTTGTGTTGATGTACAGATTCTTTCCTAGGAACAACAAATGAGGTCTGGGAGCAAAAGATTCCAAACATCTGATAGCCAGTAGAGGCAGGAAAAGAAAAATAATAGCCCATTACACTGCACACAAATTTAGCTTCTGAAAAAAATCGCATTTGTAAATTATGATTTTTTTCTACTTATTTTATTAAAATAAATTTCTGCGCTACTGAGGAAACAGAATTGTGAAAATGCCTTATTCTTGAATGATATGATTCTTAAATGCCATATAAACATCACTAAACCTAACTCTCAAAAGTATAAAAAAAATGTTGACCAAACTCTGGTAAAATTAGCTTTATCTAATTTAACACAGTATTTTTTTAAATAAAAGTTTGTCTTATATGTTATAAGGGAGAAAAATAGGACTTCAGCAATGACTCTTCTTCTTTTTTTTCTGATTCAACTTTTTAATAACTTCCTTAACAACATTTGTTCTGTATGCTTGGCTCCAGTATCCTATACTGCTAATCTGATATTCTGGAAAGCTAAGGATTTTTCAGAAACCCAAGTAGATGACATACACTATAAATTTATACTGGCAGTATAAAAATCTAAGTAATATAAAACATAAATACCATAACAAGCAAAAGCAATGTCTGGCTTTGGGGAGAATTTCTACTGAAATGGCTATTACATTTTGTAAAGAAACAAATATAACTTCAAAATACCTACAATCTATTTTTTACAAAACTTTAAACAACTAATTTATCTGTACTACAGTTTGGATTTTCTTGTTCTTTTTGTTCTTCTTTAAAAGTATATACAATATTTATAATATTATTCTTGCCTTTTCTTTTTCTGCGTACATAAAGGTATAAATACTTGGTAATACCAAGTGGACTACAGTACAGAAGGTCGATCTAAGATGGTGCATAGTACATAGATTTTGTATTTGGTAAATTATAAGATGATTGTCTTTATATGAAGGATAAGCAATAATTAAATTGTAAAAATCAACCTAGAAAAAATTATCACACAAATATCAAGAAACGTCCAAACAATTTAGAAGTGAAAATTGCTTACCTACTGATACTGCTACTCCCATGTAAACCACTGTAGTGATTAAGATGGCTAGAAGTGTCCCTTTAGGTATGGCTGATTGAGGATCCTGGAAAAAATGGCATTTATGAACCACAAGAGCGCTCCAAAGAACTGAATAGCAACAAAATAACTAAACATCACTCACCGCAAGATCACCTGAGATATTTGCACCAGCTAAAATGCCTGTTGCAGCTGGGAAAAATATAGCAAATACTGAAAAGAAAGTTTCTTCTTTTCTGAAATCTGGTCCAAAGTTTTCTGCAAATATTTCAGCTATTAAATAAGAATGTTAAAAAAGAATTATTTTAACATTGTGTTGTCCAATATACTTCACATTTATTATTCCACTGAAGAAACTACCATGAAGCTAAAAAAAAAATACATAATACTTAAAAAATAAAAATAAACTGTAAGGTGGATATTTAGAAATTTGCTGGTTTTTTTAACAAATACAAATATAATCTTCCATCAAATCAGTATATTCTTGTATTACCTGTAATATGTCTGCCATTATTAACTAAAACACAGATATCAATTAAAAATTCCTGTAGGATTACAGTAGACATATTGACTAGAAAAACATATAGATAGTCCTCACTTATTGAACACTCATTGAATGATTGTTTAAAATTAGAACAGTGCTGAAAAAAACTACTTTACAGCTGACTTAGATCATTTATGACTTTTGCAGTATCCCTCAGTCACATGATTATTACATTACAGGCAGTACACATCCTATGTCTGATCTTTGGTTTTTTTTTTCTTTTTTCCCCACCTTGCAGAAGAGAGATGGGATTGCAAGAGAGAAAGCTGTTTGCTCTTATACACATTGAAAGCAATGTAATTGTGCTGAAAGTAGGAAAGGGTCAGACAAAGGAGAGATTACTTAGAGAAATTACTTGCTTTTTTTCTCCACCCCTATCTGAGAGCTGAGAGTCTGGAGAGGAAGGGATTTAAAGAGACTAAGCTGTTTGCATTATATGCCTATGGCTGCCAGCCCTGGGCAGCCGGCACAATCACATTGCTTTTGATTTAATTAAAATAGTAAGCGGGCACTTGAGCATTTCAAAGGACACAGGAGTGAGTACGAGGCAAGCCAAAGCAGAACACGTGAAACTAAATAGACTCGTCTCTTTCCAGTCGGAAAGCACAGTTGCAGTCATCTGATTTCTCACTTAGCAACTGTTATGCTTAGTGGTGGAGTTGCCAGTACCAATTAGGTTGTTAAGTAAGAACTACTTTTATTCTAATAATAAGTAAAGTTGGTTAGAACTATCTCAAGAGTAAGAAGCATAAGACATTCATATTTTGGAGAAATTGAATGACATATTCCTTTTATATCTAAAGTGGAAGAAAATGGACCTACTTTCACATATTCTATGAAAGCCATCATTATGTCCATAATCCTCAAGTGAGTGATGAGCAAGGTTACTAGAATGCTATCTATGGGGGGGGGGGAATCTACACATTCCCATTTGGTGTCTGAAAATCTTGCAAGATATAAAATGGAAATTAATTACTAAAACTAGATTGTAGCTTTCCTCACACATATGGCATTTACAAAAAGTAAGTCCTAAAATTTAAGGGATCATCTGGAAAGTAAAATGGACTGTGGGGATGTTTTGTTTCAATAGTCTGTAGAAAACCTAATTGGGTTGCATATCAAAGGATACTATATTGAAGTCAAACACTTAATATTTCAAAACTAGAAATAGTTGATATATTACTTAGAATATGTTTTAGTAATATATATAAATTATGACATTAATATCACCAATTTTAGTATGTGAAATAACAGGTTTTAGACTACATTTGGGAAGATTTTTGTTTTATCATTTTGTCTTACCTTTGTAACCAAAAAATCCTTCAGGCTTTTTGTTCTCAAATGGAATAAATGTTCCTATGATGAAGTCAGCAATAGCTATTAGTAATATCACCAGCAGAACAATCTGTGCCTATAATTTTCAAGTGGATAATATCAACATCATTTATATAAAAAAAATTCTCCAAATTAAGACCAATATCACTCTCTCTCTCTCTCTCTCTCTCTCTCTCTCTCTCTCTCTCTCTCTCTCTTCATATACATATATATATGTCCATAATTATCTTAAAAATATGATCCCTGGGTGTGTCCATATTTAAAATCAATAAACAAACGTGAGCACCAGGGAATGCAATAGAATAATTTAATAATAAAAACACCTAATAAAAATGCCTAGCTTTCGTCGGCATCTGTCGACATCATCAGGGCTTATATATATACACTCTATATATATACATATACATATACATATGTATATGTATACGTACACACACACACACACACACACACACACACACATTGGTCAAATAACTACTTTGATTAAGTAGGCAGTCAAATAAGCATTATAAATACAGTTCTTTAGATATGTCAACCTCTCTTCAATTGAGCCAAAAGTAGGAATGCTTGTGCTTGAAAATATTTTGTAACAGAGATGGTAATTCACCTAGAAATTTACTCTACTTGATGAAAGCATTTAAGCATAGCAATTCTTTGAACTAAATCATATTAAGATCTTAAATATTTTAAAAAAGAATATAAGGATAGTAATTTGTTAGATTTACATAGAATGTAACTAATATATCCTTATAAAAAGTACCTTGTTAGGGTCTATTTGGGCTATGGCATTATTTTAAACCTGAATAAATACTCCCTTATTTTAACTGCTTCCTACTGGAATACTATATTTTTTAAAAAATTACAATGCTGCAGTCCTATGTGTAGTTTCATCATCATTAAAATAATAGTATTTACTTTTGAAATGGCTTCAATAGAATTATACATTTTCTTTTAGGGGGCACAGAAATGTCACAAATCTTACTACTGGTTTGGATTATTTATTCACAACGAAAGTCTGATAATTGTGCTTTTAAGGACTGCAACAGTCATATTTGAAGAATCCTTCCCTCCCATTACCCTAATGGAAAAGCTATGTTAACACAAAATGTAAATAATCTCTATATTGTAACTATATGATGAAAAGTTATTGCAAGAATGTTCCTTGTTGATGTCTGAATATTAGTTATGTTTTGTCATATATGCTTATTTTCACATTTTTTCATACATTACTTACATTTTTATAATAGCATTTTTAAAATCATAGTTACTTACTTTAGCTTCCCATTCCATTCCTGCTAACGAGATGCCTAATAAAACAACAATTGTAATTGCTCCTATAATTCTGATATCATTATTTGGATCCAGCATAAGCAATTCATGTTCCTACAAAAAAAAATTAAATAATTGTGATAGAGTTAATATTGCAACAGGTGAAAATCATATTTTAACAAATACAAAAAAGATTAGGAAGAATATTTGAAAACAGGACTTCATTTTAGTTTGTTATATACAATAATTAGATTTAGAAAATCCTGATTGTACAAATGTTGAAGTTTATTTTGCTCTATTTTATAAAAAAATATCTCTAATCATAAAGATTAATGTTAAACTCTTCTAACTGTAATGTATTTGAATTGATTACTAAGTTTTTAAAAACTCAAGTTGTGATTTAGAAATACATGACAAGTATCTATGCTCCATATTTTCATGTTGCCCTAATTTCCCCTTAGACTGGTCATCAATGAAGGAAAACACATTATACAGGGCACAAGCTATAGTTATCAATAATTAGTAATTAAAGATGTTAAATGACTGAATAATCTTCATTAGCATCAAATCCCACATTATGATTATTCCTAGAGTTGCAAAACCTTAAAAGGGATACTTTACAAAATTGCAGGCTTTACACAGGTTCATTTCTACTGGAAGCATCAAATTCTTTTGATGAATCATAGACCTCCTTAGGTTTTCCAGTAAGCATAATTAAATGATGCATTTGATATTGGGCTGATCTGAGCAAATATTTGTCCACTGAACTACTACCACCACTAAATCCAAGCTGTCTCACATCTCCCTAAAAACAGTTTTTATAAACTATTCCAAAGTAGAACTGTACTGAGGAAAATTTAGTAAAGTTCAGATTATGAAACATAAAGATAACAAACAGCACACTAGAAGAATGAGTTTACCTCAAGTAGGTCAACAAAAGTCTCTGCAAAACCAACTACATACATGGCTACGGCAACAGCATTAGCAAATGCAAATATCAAGCCTATAGCACCGCCAAATTCTGGCCCCAAGCTTCTGGAAATGAGATAATATGCACCTCCTAAAGAAGAAGAGTGTAAGATGTAAGTTACGATACAAATTATATTTTTATACACAGAATTTATGCTTATGTCCTACAAGCACTGAGGATCATCCCAAACTGTTATGACAAGGACAGGATGTCCTGAATTTTATGTATGAAACATACTTCAACATTTTAAGATGATTTTTCTCTTTTTTTATCTGAGGTCAATTCTGATATTCATGTGCACAAGAAGTACAGTATTATCATTATTCATGTACACAAGTACAGTATTAATATCTTTATCAATATTATTCACTTGTAAGAAAATGTTTGCATCTGTTTAATACTGAAGTAAACACCACCTAACAGACAGACTGTCCTACTGACAGATAGATACTATAGACAGAAAGATAGAGAGAATTACAGCTACTAATTGTATGGAAAAAGATCAAGGGATAAAGCACTGATGTATTTTCTAGAACTTTCCTTACAACCAAAGAACTATAAAACTGCATGCAAATAATTGTCCTGCTTGTTAAGCAAAACATTCATGATGAATAGAGGATTTTTATAACAAGTCACCAAAAACATGTTTTTTGAAATCCACTGACACTGACAAGCTAGGTTAAATTTTGTTATTGCTGTTGCAGGTAGTATCAAATTACTGTTGGATGCACATCAATTATATATTTCATGGTCTTTTAACTTTTTTTTAAATTATATGAAAAATGCTTCCATCAGAGAATTTACATACATAAGTTTTTATATATATGTAGAGTTAAAAATCATTTATACCAGCTACCTTTGAAGACTACTAATCATGTATATATTAATGAAGTTTTACCTCCTCTCACAAAACCATTGGTAGCTATAGCTGATGTAGACAAGCCTGTGATAGTAGTTACAACAGTGGCCATTGCAATAACCAAGACAGCAAGTCCTGTGAGGAAAAAAGAATTGTTAGGATTTGTAAGAATTATATGTTTCCTAAAACAATGCATATTATTTAATAAAAAATACTAATTCAAAGAAAGATGGAAAAAATGTACTGAATTCTGAATAACAGCAATGTCAACATCCAAATTACCTTAGAAGATAATCCCTATTTACAAGAACCTTTAGTACTGGATGATAACTTTAAGTCAACAATCCACTATCAAGTTTAAAAGCTGCAGGAATTGATGGAATATTTACAGAAATGTGGCAAAGCAACAAAATAAAAATTGAAGATTCTATCCTATAATAACAAATCTGAAGAAAGACATGTGGCCAAATGATTGGAATAGATCAGTTTAATGCCAGAGCCAAAGAAAGAAGACTCTGCAAACAGTTGCACCATATCTTGAATTTCATCATTAGCAAAATAATTCTTAGGATCATCCAAAGCTGAATAGATTATCCTATATGAAAAGAAAAAAATACTATGTTCAAGCTAGTTTTAAAAACAAGAGGCAACACTGCTCTCTTGATAATTGAGAAGGCCAAAGAATACCAAAAATAATTCACTACATACGTCACTGATTACAGGAAGGCCTGTAATTCTGTCAAGCTGTGATAGTTCTTTAGGCAAATGACATTCTCAGATTATTCTCAAATGCAAAAGCCACACAGAACAGGAATCTGCGGTCCAGGTGGAACAGAGCAAAGTAGATCAGATCAGGTCAGCGAAGACTAAATTCTCTGTCTTATTTATTTAGTCTATGTGTCAAATATATATTAAAAGAAGTTTGATCAGAAGATGATGAATATAATTTTAAAAGTGGAAAAATAAACATCAAACTGGGCTATGTTGGTGACATTACTCTGAAAGCTGAAGATACAAATGACTAGAGAGCTCTAGTAATCAAAGTCAAAAACTTTAGTGAGAAAATGAGAGTATAATTAAATATAAAGAAAACCAAATTAATAAAAACAGATACAATAACCCAGGCTTAAAATAGAATACATTTAAGTGGTGAATAGTTTCTGCATTATCAAGCAGTATAGGATCCAACAATCAATAAATATGCTGCAGGCTAGCACTTGGCAGCCTAGTAATGAAGGCCTCAAATACTGTGACACATTTATACCTATAAAAACTAGAATCATGTAGAATTTCTTTGCTGTGACAGTCATGGAAATGAAAGATGGACTCTGAAACACAATACAAAAGTATTGATGTTTTTGAACTCTGGTGTTGAGGAAAATTCTTGAGAATACCATGAATAGCCAAGAAAACAAATGAAAAAATCAATCAAGAGTTCTGACTTGAGGTACAAATAACCAGGCTCAAATTATTATATTTTGGACAAGGTCCCTTGAGAAGTCCACAATGCTGGCAAAGGTAGAAGAGAAGATAACAATAACTATCAGCAAGGTGACAGGATTCAATTATAGCAGCAACAGATATGCTGTTGGAAGAATTGAAGATCCAAATCCATTTATCTGGTCAATGTATTGATTGAACATGGTTAACAACTGATTGCAATATATAAAAGTAACAGAAGTAGTATAAACATCAAATATGGAAATATCTTTAACGATGAGAGTATAATTCACAGCAACTGAAACAGGTTCAGCAATTGCTTTATATTCTTTTCAAATATAGAAACCATATTAATTTTTAATAAGAAAGCCACTTACATAATATTCTGGAAATCAAACAGGGCTAATCATTCAGGTATGCTATGTTTTTACTATGGAAACAACCCCCCCCCTCAAAATTAGAAAGTTCTGCAAAAAAAAGCGCAGTTATTTAACCATTCAATTCTTTCTTTTTGAGAAACTATGGACATTCAGCAGTAATCCTACTCTATAATCCAGGTTTTGTCAGATATTAGAAGTCACAGGGCTTTTAGCAATAGCCAAAATAATATATAAATGTGGTGTTTAGAAGTACTCACCTATGCCAGCTTGTCCTACAATCCAGGATAGTCGAATGAAGAGCATCACCCCCCAGATATTCAACATACATCGTACCTATTTCAACATCAAAGTAAAGAACATTTATATTAAAATTAGATTTTTGAAGAATTGTAACAGTTCAAGTTAAATGTTTCTTACAAGAGAACCAAGTATCTCAGGCTTTCAAACACTCTTTTCAAGATGCAACTTGGAACCCATCTAACTTTAATGGCACACAGATGAATTTCTCAGGAAGTAAAGCTCATTATAAAACTGTTATCTTATATTTTTAATACAGAGGCAAACGTTTCTAATTTACATATAAAAAGCTAGTTAGAAAACAAGATTGCAAGAAGATGTCAGTTTTTAAAAGCTAGTTGCATATTACTGAAAGACATTATTATTAACAGTTAATCAATAGATTATATACAAAAAACAAATGTATTACATTTCTAGATTCCTAATAGGAAGAAAAAATGTTCACCAACAAAAGACTGATTTTATAAATCAAAAGTATAGTAATAAAGCAAACATATAATGTCACTTGAAAAACTACATCATTTGTTGTTCTGTGGAGCCATTTTTGGAGCCATTTGCTTTGTATGGTTATAGGAAGAGTATGAGTACTGAGCTGTAGTTTCTCAACATGTCAAACTGGAAACTGTTTTGTAAGGGGTGTTTAAACCATAGAAAAGATGTAACACTATCCTTGAAGCCAGCATAAGTGAATGGAAAATAAAGCCAGAAATCTCAAATTAAATAAATTAGAAAGATGCTAATTACATATAACTAAGCATAATATTGCTTATTACAAATTTAAAGTGAACAATATGAACAGTATGCCTTTTACTATTAACCATATAGCTCTAGAACAGATATGTCAAACTCGTGACATCATGTGACGTCGCGCAACGTATCGGGGACTGTTTTGCCATTGCCAGTGGGCGCGGCTTCTGTGTGACGCATCCGGCCCATGGACCGGCAGTTTGACACTCTTGCTCTAGAATATTCCTGTGGTAGAATAATAAATTATATGGGATTTGGGTTTTTTCTAAATATTCTCTGGATTACAATAATCCAACCAACAAAGAAAAATAACAAAATATCAAGAATGAAAATACACAAATGAAAACATTTTCATAGCTTACTTTTCTCTATCTGGTGATACTCTTAAATTTACTATTTCCTTCTTTTAAAAAAAGAATCTTTGGGGTAATGATTGTGAAACTGCCAGATAGACAGACAGAGGTCTCAAAATCCTGGCTTTTCCAGGCCATTTTTTATGGCCTATAATGATATTTCATGGATATTAAACAGTAAGGGCAGGGCAATGAGTGCTCTATAGACATGAATGCCGGGCCACAGAAAAAGGCCTGGAATAGAAGCAGTCTGGAATTAACAGTCTCACAACTTGTCTTAATACGCCAGCCTAGCATATTTTTCAGGCATAGGGAACACTATCAATCCCACAAATCTCCTTATGATGAGCAGCACCATTCCCTGAGAACCCCCACCTGCTCTCACACCCTCTCTATCATGCAAGAAGAATTGCAACAAGCAAACCAAAGATATTGCTGCCAGGCAAAGAGAAGGAAAAACTCTACCAGGCAAAAATGGAGATGTGACGTGACAATATGAAAACGACTGAAGACAAGCAAGACAAGAAAAAATGCAGGGTCTGCACAGTTTTTAGTACATGGATATCCTAAATTACCTCACCCTATATATATGAACTTGAAAAATATTACATATCAAACCAGTAATACAACTAAATATTGGTATTCTGGTGAACAAAAAAATACTGCGAGCTAAGTGACCAAATTGAAATATTTCTATTTTACAAGCAGCTTTGTTGTCTTAAGGTTGTTGTTTTTTTACCATTCATGAAATGTTGAATCTCAACCCACATGATTTAAAACATTAAACAGAACCCCACATATGATTTAAAACATTAAACAGAAGTCAAAAATTACTTGAAATACCAAAGTTATACTCACCAATACACCTTTAATCCAACCAAATTTGACAATCCCTTTGCTATCAGCAGTATATGCTGCAGTGGCTTCTCCAGTAGGTGTTCCTTCTTCTCCATTTGCATAGCCATCTTCAAATAGCTCCTAAGACACAGTAACAATCAGAAGGGAAAGGGAGGTTGCCAAGAAAGACTGTCTAATAAATCTGTTTAATGTTGATAGTGTTGTAACCAACAAAGATTCAACGGCAGACTACTTTGACTAATATCAGAAAGCCAGGAAATGTTTTTTCTTTGTAGAAAAGTAGTCTACCACTGTACGATAACATCTTTTATTATAAAGCTAGTGAAGCTTTATATTTTTATATGATTCGTATGATTTATATGTATTTATTAAATACATGGGTTTTAATGTAAATATGCATTACATGATATACAAAATATAGTTAAATTAATAATTTCCACAAAAGACTACAGAAAGTTCCATGGCAATTATATAAAGCACATATTATATTATATATATTCTTTGCTAAATAACTGTCCTGTTTAGTGATTGTTCAAAGTTATGACAGCACTGAAAAAGTAACTTTACAACCAGTCCTTGCCCTTACAACTGTCAATGTGTCCCTGTAATAACATGATAGAGATTAGGGCACTTCACCACTGGTGGGTATTCTATAACTGTCACAATATCCTGTGATCACAATTGCCATTTGCACATTTTACAGCTGGCTTCTGACAAGCAGTCAATATGGAAGCCAGCAGTAAAACTGCAAGTTTTGGTTACTGATATCTCCCCTTAACAACTTGCTTAACAATTGTGGTGGAAGTGAGGACTTAAGTTTGTTGTTATCACATGACTTGCTTAATGATATCATTTAGTGACAGAGTTGCTGGCCCCATTTGTGGTGGTTAAGTGAAAACTATCTGTATACATAATTCATAGCTCCTTTTACATTCAGTCAAAAGGATCAATGTTCTAGACCAGATTTTCTAATCCTTTTTACCCTAGAAGAGCCTTTGAAATAATTTTCAGATCTCACGAATCCCTATATAAAATCACAAAGCATACTCTCTACAAAGTTTACAACAGAATTCAGCTCTAGCTTATACAAAACATATCTACGTTTAAAACATTGGCAAAACAGCAGGCCAGGAATTGAGTCAGGTGAGTAAAAATTCCCATGTGTGTTGGTATATAAAATTAAAAAAAATAACTTTTTGTTTTCAATTATGATCTCTTGTAGACCCCAAACAACTTGTCATGGTACCCCAGTTAAGAATGGCTGCTGTAGATTTTAATGTTTAAAAAAGCACAAAAATTATTATAAGATGTTTAATTAATGCCTTAATCTCCATAACATCTATATGGATATTTTAATAAATGAAACAAAAAAAATAATGAAATGAGCTCTATTTTTTTATTTCTATTTACTTCTCCACATTATTTATTTATATCCTGTCTTTATTATTTTTATAAATAACTCAAGGCAATGAACATATCCAACACACCTTCCTCCCATTTTTTTATGTATTCTATATATGTCCTATAATCACCACCATTTGTTACATTTCTGCCAATGATGGATAAGCTGTTTTTTAAACCCATTGTGAAAGAACTCCATACTTGCAACCAGGTCTTGACAGACCTTTCTACCTCTTCATTTGAGTCCAACGCATATCCATAAAAGTATTCATAAATTTGGCAAAGGGTGAAAGTTGCATGGTACAAAGTTTGGACTATATATGATAGATGGAATGAGATTGTGAAATTCAATTTCACAAATATCTTTTGGGTGGCTTGAGAGATATGAGACCTAATTTCCTTCTTTTCCTTCCGAACCTTGTTGTGAGTATTGTAGTATAGTGCTCCGAGTTAATAGTAGTGACAGATTCAAGAAAATCTGTGTGAACAACATTATCTGCATCTCAAAAACTATAACCAGTTTTCCTGTCAAACCCTATGTTTTGAATTCTCAGTATAATATTCCATGGACTGACATTTTGTTTCTGAGACTTATTTTGTTGGCTGTCACAATTTCTGTGAAGAAATTCCTCACATTCATTCTAGTAGCTTAACAATAATTGCTGGCAATTTTTGACCCTTGATGTAAGGAAGACTTCATTTGCATCAATCTTCCAAAATTGAAGAACTTCAATAACATGACACATGCATTCCTATGAAATGCAAGCTTGACAGCAATTTACCTCTGAATAAAGTTCATTAATATTTTTCATGTGAACTTGTCAACTGCTCTTTCATTTTATTCTCAATCACACAAATCAGCACTATTTGGTTCACTGTTTTTACACATATACTTTTTTTTGGCTCAGCAATGCACAATATGCCAAATCATCAACTTTATTAGCATTTCTAGTCTTCCAAAAAGACACTAAATACCTGGGTTTTCCATCAAGCACTGGGATAGGTTAAGGGGACAAAATGTTGGAAGCTTAACTTGGTGTCAGGTTTTTTGTGTTGTTTTGAATGTTATAGTTTTAAGAGTTTTATAGGGTTTTAATTCTTGTGCCCAGAATCTGGTGTAAAGGGAGGCTATATAAACGTTTTAAATAAATAAATCAATAATCCACATTTAACAGTGAACTTCATTAGGCTAAAATTAAATTAAAAATTCCATCTGTTAATATTTGTAACATCGAAGTCATTACTTTTCATTAAACCTTCTGATGTGATAGTCTAGTAATTCTCAGATAATGTAAGATTAGTAGATTGAAAGTTTCTTCAAACATGCTTTCTGGTCGAAGAAATGCCTTTACACCCATGTAACCAAATATCATGAGGTATTATAGGGAAATAGAAGTAATCCAATGTAGTAGCCAAGAATACAAGGCAGAATAAATGATTATTTCACTATAAACTTGCTGTCTCCCCAGGAGAGTTAAAAGCAAACTATTTTAAGCTTTGTTCACACAATAACAGCTAGTCCTTTGGGTTCAAAGGAGACAAGTGTTCTGCAGTTCATCTATGAACACGGAGGTGGCTCTGCAGTCCCAGTCTGGAAGCACAGAGTCTAGAAAATAGGGGCACTCGAAGTCCATTATTACAATAATTGTGGGTGCTATTCTGTGCTGCTGCTCATAATCTTATCAATTTTTGGTGGCAGCTTCTTTGTGGCACTTGCATGGACAACCTTGAGATCTCTTTCTGGTCTCCAATTCACCATACGGTTAGGGATGAGACATAAATGCTCATCCATTCTGATGATGTTTCTCATCCATTGCATCTGGACTCATCTCTATAGGAGAGAAGGGAATCCATATCCAGCTTTGTGGAGATATGCACATTGTGTGGATTGAACACTCTAGTATTCAACTGCCCTAAAGTCTGGCTGGCCTTACTGATCCTGGGGTCAATTTCTTTGTCCAAAGACCTATATATCAAGAAGATACTTCCCAGGGATTTGAAGCTGTTTACATTTCTCAGCTGCTGTCAACAGTGATTTTCTATAGGGTTGGTATTTGACACAGGATAGTAAAGTCTTCAGTCTTATTCAGGTTGATAGTCATGCTAAAGAGCATAGCAGTATCTAAAATTTTATTCAACATCAATTATAGATTACTGTCTTTGTGTGTCAAGTGCACACAATCATATGCAATCATTATTTTTGAATGTATAGAGGCCCTTTGTCCACGTGTTCAAGGGACAAGGGTCAAAGAGTATTGTCCAATGGGTACCTGATATAACTCCCTCCTTCAGACCTTGGACAGGATAACATGCAAGCAAAGGACAGATTGAACAGGGTTGGGGCTCGTACATAACCCAGCTTCACCCCCTTTGGAAATGGTAAATGCAGCTCACTTAACACCATTGTAAAAGACCTGCCCTGTCATTCTGATGTGGAACAGCTGAATCAACTTCACAACTTTCTTTGGGCATTCTTAATGTTTCAAGATGATCCAGAGGAGTCTCCCTGTTTACAGTGTCAAATGACTTTGTCAAGTTAATGACAACAGAGGCTTGTTCTGCTAAGTGAAATTCTCTTGGACTTGCCTCACAGCAAATATCAGGTCTACTATACTGCTTTCTTGCCAAAAGCCACATTATGCCTCCAGGAGGTTCCTTTCCAAACCAGTGCCAAGTCTTTCAAGAGAATGTGGGGGGGGGGGGAATCTTGCAATGGACAGCAGTGAGATACCCCTATAATTTCTATGATTTGATTTAACCTCCCTTATTTTTATAGACAGCTATGAGGAGGGCATCACAGAAGCCATCAGGCATCTCCTCTGTGAACTAAATGTCTTCCAACTAAATGTCTTCCTTGGAACACCTGTAATGTATTTAATAATAATAATAATAATAATAATAATAATAATAATAATAATAATAAAGTTGGAAGGGACCTTGGAGGTCATCTAGTCCAACCTCCTACTCAGGCAGGAAACCCTATACCATTCCGGACAAATGGCTGTCCAGTCTCTTCTTAAAAACTTCCAGTGTTTAGGTGAAGAGCTTTATATATTTTAACAGGAATACCATCATCTGCCCTGTTGCTTTATTTGAGTTCATCTGCAAGATCACTTTGATCTCATTAGTAGAGGGAAGCAGGTCTAGGGCATTCAAAACTGTCAGCTGAGGAATCTGCTATAAGACATCAGGATCAATTGTGGATGACCTATTGAGTAGATTAAAAAATTGTTTAGCCTAGTGATTTTTCAATTATTCCTGATCTTTGATCAAGCTCAGCCCATCAGATGACAGCTAAGGGAAGCATCTTGATTTACAAGGGCCATAAATTGACTTTATGATGAATAATTTCGGTGGCAATGTTCCACCTGCTCAGCCTTTCTCTGCCACCACTCATACTGCATTTCTGTAGGTGCTTAAACTTGCCTTTCTTTCTTTGAGATAGATGTCAGTTCATTCTGCCAGTCTGTGTAGGCCTTGTTCTTAACCTGGAGTGCTGCTGAAACAGTCTCATGGTTTTCATCAAACCAGTCTTTATGCACCAGTATTTTCAGTCCAAGTACATTTGTTACAATCAACATGACGACATCTTTAAACTGCATCTATCATTCAGAATAGTTTTCACAACCAGTAAATATGTTAACACATTAAGCCATTCTATTCTTAATCCCGACTCACTAGTTTTACACAATACATAACCAAAATAATACTATCTGAATAAAAAAGTAGGCCACTCTTCATCTGCCCAAATAATATAGGTCAACTTTAAAATATTCTAAGAAATGAGAAATTGATATTGTATTTAAATTTTAACATAAAATGTTATTGACAGGATCACACTCCATACAATACAGCACAGCCAGAATGATTGCCAAGATGATTAATGCATCTGCTACTGGGAGATGGGATGTAGTAGTTTTGGCTGAACCTTCTTATAACTTCAGCTGATTTGATATCATAAAGCACCTGAACTAGTGCTATATGAATAACCAATATCAAAGAAGGGATTCCTCACTTTAATCAATTTCTAAAAAGATATAAAATAATGCAGAACCAATGTGACCAACTGAATTGGTGCTCTTCAGCTTGGCATAAGATTTCATTAGATATATTTTTTTGGATATCTATTGTTCTTTCACATTTTCTATTGGTTACTTTTAATGTTAAGTTACTAGATAATTAGCCAGGCGAGTAAGCAAGTTTTAATGAGCCATCCAGCTAACATTTCAGCACTTGACCTGACAGTAATCCTCAAACATGCCACATTTGCATGTGCAGGCTGCCCTCACACAACCAACATAATCACAACTCCAGAGTATTTCCTTAATACTGCAAGATATCTTGATGCGAAAGCTACATGAATTTTTCACACAGAAAGATAATAAAAATAACCATTTTCTAACCAGGATCATTTACATTAACTTCAATTTTTAAACTAATAAACATTTATTTACATTCTTGTAGAATATTTTGCCCATCTTAAGACTGTTTATAAATGTGTAGCAATTTTTCTGCTAAAAAGCAATCATATACGGTACTTTTAATGGACAATACTCATTTATCTAAGACTGTTAAACTACTCTACTTCTTCCATAAATACCCTCTATGCATTTAGAGTCAAACTGCCATGCTTAGAATATACTTCCTGAAAAAACTGAAATCTAATTTAGACAATACTTAAGACCAATAGATTTTAATAGGTCTACCCTAAGCTCCAAGCCAACTCAATGAATTCTGAAGTTAACAGAGTTGCACTGTTACAGGAAAAGAGCATTTATATTCTACTAATGTAATTCTTCCATACTACACTAGGCAATAGGTAGATTTTGGAGCAAACTTTTATTGGATAAGGTAGTATAATACCTGTTCAACATTCATCATGCCAGATTTTTTTCTTATCAGCTACAGGTGTTTCTATCTTCAAAAGGCTGTTAATGCCATTAAGAGAAACCAGATTTCTACTGCATATTCACCTTGCTCTTAACATTTAACATATTGCTTCAACCAACTATATAATATTTATATTAATTCATCAAACAGATTTTCAATAGTTTAGCTTCAATGTGCAATTTTGTTTGGGAAATCTTAATTCTTTAATAAAATCAGAAATATTAACAATGGCTCATAACATAGATTTACCAGATTTTTTTAAATGCTAATATCACCATATAACTGGTATGTTGCACTTTTCAGAAAGACAGAGCTCAGAAAGTTATCAAAACTTTCAAATACAATATAAATAAGCACTAATAAAATGCATAATGAATTATAAATCTTTAAATATGTTTCAGATCTACACATAGTTGGAAGTACTTAAGCTACTGAGTTTAAATTCCTTTCATCATATTATAACATATGGATGTTTTCTGACCTGCTGGGAAGATGCAACTTTAAAGCAGCCTGTATTATTAAATTATTTATGCAAAAGTTGAAAAGTTATGTTATTCTGAAAACAGTCTCTCAAACATAGTTTATATATCTATCAACAGCTTACAATCCATGAACACTGCAGTAAGTCTGGCCAGTGAACTGACAAAGAACTTGGCATCAGTAAATAATCGAAGCACAGAGAAAAACCAGGGAAGAATATTAATATGGATTCTTGATATAAAATGGAGATAAAGGGATTTCTTCTGGCCTATCTCAAGATGGCCTTTGGTTGTTGTTACACCATGTAGAGACTTTACACTGTTTCATTCTTCAGACTTCGGCAACTACTTAACCCCATGTCCTATCCTAAAACGAACTTAAGAAATTTGGGAGAGGGGGAAATAAAGAGTCATATTCCCTTAGACCAGACAACAAGTACTGCTCTAATGTTCCATTAACTTTTACAGACCTATAAAGTATATTGCCTCCATATAAAAGGTGCACAAACCTGAGACAATATGTAACATAAGGAAAGACAGAACGACGAAAGCAAATATATTTGCAATGCCTATCTATAAAGCTGAAGTCCATGCAGAGAGAACATAGAAAACATACCTTTTCATAGTTTTTAGATAAAACTCATCTAGTTTAGAAAAACACAGTATTTTTCTACTTCTATACCAGTGTTTCTCAACCTTGACAATTTTAAGGCATGTGGACTTCAACTCCCAGAATTCCACAGCCAGCAATGCTGGCTGTGGAATTCTGGGAGTTGAAGTCCACATGCCTTAAAATTGTCAAGGTTGAGAAACACTGTTCTATACTGTCAGCACAACATTGTGTCAGCCTGATGCCCCATTTTTTTTTAAATTCCAAACGGGGTTACCACACATGTTCTTTACTTGCTCACCCATCACTCACCTTGTCCAGCTCATCGTGCAACTCTGCAAGGCTGGGTCGAATCAGTTTCTCTCCTAGACCAGCAGCGGTGTGCCGATAATAGTCTATCCTTGGCACGGCATCGATGGTATTGTGGCCGAAGGTGCGCATATAGTACGTGTTCGTATGAGTGTCGTAATAGAAGTGATGGTGCCCTCCTGAGCCTCCCCCGGAATGTAGGCTCCCTTCGCTCAGAACCGTGTCACCCCCATTCTGGAAGCTGACGCTGCAGCCTTCTGGGCCCCCACCTCCAGGCTCATCGGAGCTGTCGTCTCCAGCGGAGGGGTCCACGAAATTCACCCGGAACCGACCTTTTGCTTCCTCGCTGCTTTTCTTATGCCCATCACCGGGAGTCGCTTCCGTGGATTTCGCCTCTTCTGCCACAGCCGCCCGACTCAGGTTTTCTGCCACCAGGTCCACCTGAAAGCGGCTCTGGCTGGGCGTGGGACCCAGAGGTCTGCCCAGCCCGTCTCCAGCGGCTGCAGAGGCAGGAGCCAACCCGCTCCCGGGGTCCGACGAGGAGCCGCCTGTGCCAGCCGCCGCATCCCCGTCACTCGCCGGCAGACGAGACGCTGCTTCCTCCGCTCCCGTGGATGCTGCTGCTGCTGCTGCTGCATCGGCGGCCCCTCCTCCGGCCGCTGCAGCTTGGAGCTTCGGCGAGGCAGAGCCGGGCGGCGGGGACGAAGCGCGCGAAGCTTGCTGCCCAGGCTTTGCTTCCATGGCTTCGGCTTCTCGCCTCGGGTGGGCGACAATGCGGGCCGGAATAGACCTCCTTTGCGGCTCCGGCTGGTTCAATGAAGTCCTTTCGTTTCTAGGAACCAAGCAAACAAAACACAGTCGGCTGCCGCCGCTCGGGGCGCTTTAAACCACCAAATGGCGCCCCGCCGCTGCAGGGCTCCACTCCGCCGCCCTGGAGAAAAAGCAAGGCAGCACGCCGCACTTCCTAGGCAGATAACCGCGCGGCCCGGCCCGGCCCTGCCCCTCCCTCCCGGTCACCCCGCCCCAGTCCTTATAGCGCCGCCGCCGCCGCGCCAGGTGATGATGCTCCGCAGCTACTGGCCCCTCTCGCCCCCTCCGCCGACGGGGGTCCCACTCCTCGAAAGCCGAGACAAGGGAAGAACCGTTGGGGGGGGGATCTCCATCCCCGCTACTCCCCCGTCCCCTTGCTTCCCGCTTTCTCTTACCTCTCGTCCCCACGGACAAGGACCACCCTCGGTCCGTCTCGCGAAGTCTCAGGGACGGCTGGAAGCAGCAACGCCACCCGCTCCGTATCTCTGCCGCCAAGGCGACAGCGCTCCCTGGGGGACCGCGGAGGGGAGGAGGAAGCCGGCTGACCGATCCTACACAGACCTACACTTTTTCTCTTTTCTCAGTCTGAATAAGCCGACGCGGTCGCGACACGTGTGTAACGCCTTGCTACCTCGGGCCAGTCAGCCTCAAAGCTTCCGCTGGGCCCTCCGCTTATGGCTCTCCCCCCCCCGGCTCCCCCGTGGCAAGCAAAAGCCGGGCGCCAAGGAGCGAACAAGAGCGGGCCGGCGGCAGCCAATCGCCTAACAGACGCGCGGCTCGGGGACGAGTCTTTAAAGCATCCGCTGCGAGGGGAGCGGGAGGCGGAGGAAAGCCCGAGCAGGGAGGGATCTGGCCCGGCGAGGGCGGAGCAGCGTTCGGGCGCTGCTTCTGGAGCTCGCGGATGCTGGCCCGGCTCTAGCGTGCTTCGGGGTAGAGGTTGTCTGCGGCGTTGCCGCCGGGAGCCTCAGCCGGCTAAAGCGCCTTTCAGAGAAAGAGCGAGGCCGCGGTCCAGCGTGGCCCCGCTTTCCCCTGCAGGGAGACCCAGCCAAGCAGCGCCCTACTCTCGTCGTCTCGGGGAGGAGGAAGAAGAAGAAGGCATCCGCCCGGCGGGCTGCTGCCTCCGCCTCCTCGCGACGGAGAAGTGCTTTGAGGCAGATGGCGGGTTATAAAACTGACGCTCGGCTCAAAGCGGGGATGGGCGGGCCTACGAAGCCACGGCTCCTCCGTGGGCGGACGGATAGCTGGACGGCTAGGAAAGTTCCCCGACTCTTCTGCTGTGGAGGAAGAAAAACTAAGCTTCGAGATCTCGCGAGCAGGCGCGCAGACGCGACTGAGCTTACAAGAAGCCCGGCAAGCTTTACGTTGAGGCGGGCGGTTTATAAAGGAAGGAGCGGTCTTCCTCGTGCTCCGGGGTGGGTGGGGGGGGAAGGAAGGGATGGTGGTATGTCCGTTCGCTTCCCAGAAAAAAGCTGCTCGGGACATCTCCGTTGCTAAAAGAGAATGCCCTTTGCTTTCCTATGATGTCGAAGGTGTCCTACGTTAGGAAAAAACAAAACAATCCCCACGCAAAAACAGTCCACCCGTGATAATGCAAAACCTAATGAAAAGCCTAGCTGTTTTTATTACTCTTGTCGCAACTCTGAGAAGTAAGTTGGTGGCAGTTGCTGCACAGGACTTAACTGAGCCATACGTATTTGTGGTGTGTACCAGTGCATGCTTGCTTTGAATTGAGCATCCTCCAAAATTCCCCTGAATCCCAAGGGTGCGCAAGGATTCCTGGGCAGACTAAATGATGTGGAAATTATTCCCTCAAGGCCCGAAGTTTGGAAACAACTCCCATTCAGGGGGAAAGAGTAATATCCTTGCATCTAAGGAAGTTTCTGCTATGACGCTATTTATGTTGAGGGCCCTGTTTTCGCACTTTCAACCGAGTCAAGGAAGGTTAGCTGATGTCATGTGAATTCTGTAACCTATTTAGCAGAGGGGGGTATCTCTAAATCAACCGTGTCACGTGAACATGGAAGGAAACTATTTCGAGTTAACTCTTTTCCTGCTGAAATAGATAACACGTACAGCAGCTCTACAAAACCAAGACTCTTCTGGTGTCTGCACGTACGTGTAGCATAAAAATGGTGGGAAATGGGTAAGTCTCCCACCTGTCTTTGGCATCTTTTTAGCTGGGCCATCATGGATTTTCCAACAACTTTGTTCTAGTAGGAAACAGTATGCCCTTACATAAATAGTATTGTGGTAGAAAGCTCCTAGAAGCCAGGATGTTACTCCTTTACCCTGAATGGGAGTTGGCTCCCTCGGAGAGGGTACGCAATCTGGGGGTCCTCCTGGACCCACGGCTGACACTGGAAGACCAGTTGTCGGCCGTGACCAGGGGGGCGTTTTATCAGGTACGCCTGATCTACCAGTTGCGGCCGTTTCTGGACCGGGACACCTTGCGCACAGTCACCCATGCCCTCGTCACCTTCCGCCTGGACTACTGCAATGCTCTCTACATGGGGCTTCCCTTGAGGAGCACTCGGAGGCTCCAGTTAGTCCAGAATGCGGCCGCGCGGGCGGTGTTGGGAGGGACTCGTCGCTCCCATGTAACACCGTTGCTGCGCGAGCTGCACTGGCTGCTGGTGGCTTTCCGGGTGCGTTTCAAGGTGTTGATTATCACCTTCAAAGCGCTCCATGGCATCGGACCTGGATATCTCCGAGACCGCCTTCTGCCTCAGATTACCTCCCATCGGCCGGTACGCTCCCACAGAGTGGGTCTCCTCAGGGTGCCGTCAGCCAGACAGTGCCGGCTGGCGACCCCCAGGGGGAGGGCCTTCTCGGTGGGAGCTCCCACCCTCT